TGCACGTATACTTGTGTGATCTGTGGGAGGTTGGGTTGCATGGTGAACTTTTCAGTTTTCCACTTCCAATGATCTACTCATGATTTTTCTTTTTATATTAGCATTGTTACTGTGAGGGTTTGGGACCAATAATGATATCCTTTCTTATCAAACCATATGATAGGTACATTTCTTCAACAATTTTCTTTTAAATATATGATTTCTTTCCTTCCAAAATTATCAAGTAATCTTTATGCACATTTTCTGCAAGCTATAAGTCTTGAGCCATCTGAGCCAGGATATTAAAATATAGGTAAATGCAGAAGTAAATTCAGATACGTGCTTTATTATAAAATCTCAAACCATTATGCATTATGCAAGATTAAAACTTTTCACATCTGAAATAATTTCCCTTAATCATAATTACTAAAAAGCAAATTCAACTCTGTCAAACTAGGACTTTCACCTCAAATGACTAAAGCAAATCATAGTAAAGCAACAATAAGAAGAAAAATAATAGGAATACATAGAGCAATATCCTCCTCTCCAATGTCACATTACTCACCTGGTTCTACATCCCGGGGTCTCTTCCGAGTCTCATCCAAGGAAGGGAGGACTGTAGCAGGCTGGACAGCTGGTGGCGCAGGAGCCGACTTGGTAAGTGTATCACGTAGTGTCTGCAGTGACTCCTCATCCAGCTGGAGTATTTCCTGTTGGTAGTCTCTCTCATCTGGTCGGGGAATGACTGAGGCATCGACGCCTGTATCTATTGAGGACTCACTCATTTCACTGCCATCATCCCCTGAGAGTTCACACAATGCTTGCTTAATAACATTTCATATCATAAAAAAATAACGTAAGCAAATATCAATGACAAAATATTACTTTATCCGACAAAACAGTTGCTCTGGGGTGTTCAAAGACATCTAAATTTAGGAGTCACATCTTTCGAGATTAAGAAAATTACAAAGGGAAAGGTATTCAAATGCTCAATAAAGGCTTGTCCAAGAAAGTATGTTTTAGGCTGCTTTTTAATGTACAATTTAAAATTCTAGCATCCACAGTCAGTGGGTAGCAGAAGCATTCAGCTAAATGTTCAAAAAACAAACATGCACATAAAGAAAAGCCAATCTCTAGAGCCCATTGCTTTCCTTTGAAAATGGGCAATTCCACACCTGTAGGCGTTGAACTGGTTAGGAGCTGCAACGGACGTGGCTCCAAGTGGCTCTTGGTGCGAGCTGTGAACATGGGTGCTGGTGTTGAAGAAATAATAGGCAGCTTTCTCACAGGGATTGATGGACTTGGTGTCTCACTCCCTAGTGATCTGCTAGTGGAGGCTGAGAGGCCCGAGGAAGTGGCTGTTGGTAGGGTCATCCGCATCCCACTGCTGGTGCTGGCCCCCTCATTGACACCCAAGGACTGCTGGCTGTTACTCTCAGTCTCACCTAAAAACAAAAGAACAATTTTAGTCTAGTATAATCTATCCCCTTAAAATAATAAAGCTGAATAAGAAAAAAAAGATGTTTAAAGATTACCAATGAGAGACAGAGGGTAATATAAGCACAACTGCATACCAAGTCATGGAATACAGCCCAGACCTCTTTCTACCTACACGAGACTTTGGTTAGCCCTGGCTAAGGAATGTGATGGGTGACCCAAAACCCCATTCCCTGCCCATCACACACAGTAACAACTATCAACTGTGGAAGCTTTCTTGCAGCCCATGCTAGGTGTGAACATGAGCCATCGAGGTGGAAGATGAGCACACTGGGCTAACCAGAAGCTAAAACTACTACTTGAACTATTTCTCTACAACAGAGGTCAGTGACCTTTGGTATGAGTGCCAGACTTAGCACGCAGAGCGCTTGTCTATGGCACACTATGCAATTCAGAGGAGCAGAGAAAAAAGTTAAACAGCAAAATATTATGAGAGAGTCAGTCTAATTATTATGTCAGCTAAATTACAAAATCAAGAAATATTGGAAACTACTGCGATTGATCATGCAGCCTCCATATTAAGTTCCTGGACACCACTGTCTAATAAATTCAGTCGCATGAAGAAACTAGCCTTGGCATTACTATCAGCATTTGGATCTATATACCAATGTGAGCCAGGTTTACATACATGCAGCATACCCATCACAGTAAGTTTACAACAGATCACTCTGAGGGATGTTTGAAGCTCAGTGTGTCCAGATATTAATAGGGTGAATATAAATTTAAAATTAGAAAACGTATATTTTTTGCCACAAAACTATTACATTCATGTTATGCATGTGCAGGAAAATACATTAGGGTATACAGTACTGTAAAAATTGGCACACAAGGTTATGAATAAAAAAACATTAATTATCAACTGGCACACTATGCTCAAAAGGTAGCCGACCCCTGCTCTAAAATAAATACTAAGCTTCTGTGTATATGTTACACAGCTCAAACTATCTGTAATTTCAGCTTTTAGAAGCTCCAGTAAAAATTTCAAAATGACCAGCAAGGTAAAAATGGTAAACCACAAACACAATTTTTCCCTGTAGCTAGTATGCAGTCTCCACTCACCTTCCTCTGGGTAGATCGGCCTGAAGGACCTCCTCGCTGTGACTGGTTGGGAGAAGATGAAGGACTCTCCAGGAGGAGGGACTGTTGAGGTCTTTGGAGGTGCCATCCTCCCCTGCTGTTCACTGCCTTCTTCCTCATCTTCAGCCCCTAGCCATCCAGAGAGCCAAGATGACGAGAACAAACCTGTCACTGAGTCAGTCACTCTCCGGATTATTCCCTATGGAAAAACAAAATAAAAATACTTTAGTAAGTTTTATATAAATCACTCATACTTTCACTGGTGCCAACTTAGATTACACACACACACACACACACACACACACACACACACACACACACACACACACACACAAAAAAAAAAAACGGACATAATCACAGATTTATTAGCCCGCATCCACATTTTCTGTTTACACCCTGCTCGTTCAGTAGTTTGCAAGCAACATTTGACACCTAAAACCTTGTATTTTGATAGTTTGTCAAACAAATTTTTGAAGGTTTCCCTTTGTTTAGTTGTTAATGCCTATAACTTATACCACATAAATGATGCTGCTACTATCTCATTGATTCAAACATGTTTGAAGCAATGTAATGAATCCCTATAACCCAACTCTGGTCACCCTCCCTCCTCCATTCATGAATCTACCCCTTTACTACACAGCAATTGCAGCGCCATCTCTGGGCAATAAACAAAACTCGCAAAACCTTTCTGAGGACTTTGGTCCCAGACTGTACATACCAGGGTTAACCCAATAACGGCGGGTGTCCCACATATGAGACCCCCGAAAAAATAAACATTGCCGGGCATCCCACCAGTGTGACACTGTATTGAGGCTCACGCTCTGACAGAGCAGCAGGCCAACAGACTCTGGGGCAGCTCCGCCTGCAGATTTTGTACCCGCCAGGAATCTTTTATTTTTGGCTTCAAAATATACTGGCGTGAATGGGTTAAGGGTTAAGACTATGTGGTATGGTGCAGCCTCCTGTATTCCTAATATATCTGTTAATGAAAATCTGTCAACTCAATGCATAACATTTCAAGATCACGGTAATTTTTAAAAAATAAAGATTTGCTTGCAATCTAATCTATAACATGGCATCGAGTGTATGCTTTTAAACACTCCTTATACTGATTCATGATTTCTGTATTACAAACTAAATACATTCTGTTTATAAGAAATATATGCATAAAAAAAAAAAAAAACATTAGTTATCAATGCCACAGACATAGTGTTGATTATCTTAATGATTATCATTGTTAGAGATAAAAAATATTGTCTTGCCACATTAACCCCTTGGATCCAGTTGCTTCATGGCAATTACATGGACCAAAATACGGGCATTAGGCTGGCTTGAGCAGCTGTTCTGCTGTGTGTGTGGCTTGTCACGCAAATACTTGTGAGCAGTGACAAGACTCTATGGTTCTCCTTTGCAATGCATAAGCATTTTTAGCTTTTGGGGAGCATTTTTCAAAGTACACAAGTCATTTGATTAACTTTATCCAGATGGTAATAGACTGTTTTCCTTGTACAGACCCCATATCATCCCTCTAGGTAGTCCATACCTCAAGAGCAACAAAAACAAAAATATGTTAACAAGATACTCACTATTTTCTTCTTTTTTCTAATATCTAATTTCCTGTAAAACAACTTGCAATGCCTGTCATGGCAGTCAGGACTAGGATAATGTGCATGGAAATGGTATCCTCCCTGGAGCCAGCGCTCTTCCAGTCATGGCTCATGGGCACTACATTTCACACTTGTTTATCGATGGGAATACCTTCTAAATGCCAAATGAGTCTAATCACTCTCCAAGAGGTTTATGCACTCATGGCAAGTCTTTTCCATCACTCTGGCTTCAGCCAAAATGGTCATGATAGTAAGTTTGTTTCACTCAGCCTGCAACCAGATTTTCTCATGATGGCATGTTTTTATCACCCGCACCTCAAGCCAAATTTTTTTTTAATGATGTGATGGTCTTGTCATCTGGAACAAATGGGTTAACCCATTAACGGCGGTATATTTTGAAGCCAAAAATAAAAGATTCATGGCGGCTACAAAATCGGCGGGCGGAGCTGCCCCGGAGTCTGTCCACCCGCTGGCCGCAGCCCACTGCTGTGTTGGAGCGTGATCCCCGATACAGCGTCACACTGGCGGGACGCCCGGCAATGTTTATTTTTTCGGATGTCTCATATGTGGGACACCCGTCGAGAATGGGTTAAGAGTAAACCTAATTTGGAAAACACAGAAAAGATTCACTGCTTTGCAAGAAACAGTGCTCAGATTAGAATATCCAGCAAATTACTTTCAAGGAAATCTTTTAGAATGACAGTAACATATAGAGTGTAAAAATAATGATACATCTTAGAGTAGACCTAATATGAAAAACATGAAAAATTTACTAATTTGAGAGAAATAGTGCTCAGTTTAGAATATCAGAAGCTTTCACATGATGTAAAATTCTATCATTCCACCAAAACTGAATTTACTCAACTATTATAACAGTTATAGCTCCTGGTACAGACCATGAACCAAAGGTGAAACCCAACTGAACATTGAAAATAGAAAGCACTATGTAGCTGCACATATAAACCACACCACAATACAACAAATAAACAATTCACCACCAGCTGTGATTAAGTCATGAATAAAATCAACCTATATTATTCAGAAGCCTGTGGCAGTGACCCAAGTTATTTTTCTGGTCTAATCTGCTCTAGTTTCCATAAAAAGGACTAACAACGTAATCCTCATCCCATCCACTATGTGGTGTGATATGATACAGCAGTTTTCCACAGTGACTATCAAAATTTTTTGAATGGAGACTAATCCCAAGGATGAACATCACACACCAGTTCCTAGCACCAGACTGATAGCCAATGCACCATGTCTACTCCTTCACATTTCCACACACAAATACACATGTGGATGCACAGTGTAAGAGAACCACACACCTGTTAATTCCACTCACAAAACCTGTACCTCAGAAAACAATCTGCCAACTGGCTCCCTGCCAGAAACCTGCTTGCTTCCCATGCCCAAATCTCTCCAAAGGCTTCTATCAACATAGGCAATAGGAGAGAGAGAGAGAGAGAGAGAGAAAAAAAAAAAGTACATGTATAACACTCGCATTTACATTATACAGACACTAATGGATGAGAGGAAGCAATATGTGATAACAGCTCGGATAAAGCATTAAAAGCAGCATTGAAAATTAACAAATATAACAAAGCCATTCTACTTTTAACAATCTATCAGTTTAATTTCCTAAGGGACACCAACCCTCTCAAATCCTGAGCTGGATATCCGACTAGACCCTAATCTTATTACAGCTAGTTAAAATGGGCTTGTAATATTATTCCTCAGTTTGGGGGAAAAAATCCCACTCACACACCAATACATACTTTCATGGTCTTTTAGGTTTTAAATTCTATAAATTTTTCCCTCTACACTTCCACAACAAATAGTCAGATTCAGGAAATTTACATTTCTGTACATACAAGAACATTTTCACTTCTTAGAAAAAGTAAATAATGAAAGGCAATGTTTCTTGAAAACAAGACAGATTTTTGACATAGTACTTCAATTCCACAATCCTAGAAAATAGAGGACTTGTAAAGAAAATATAATAAATCCTAGAGATATAAATACAATTCTTATTTTTAATTTGTTTTGAAGAGAGCATCCATCTTTAGTCAAAATAAGAGAAAAAGTAATAATTTGACTACTAATATTATATCATCTTTGAATACATAAAATACCAACCAGCAAGAATGCCATTCTAAACTCTCAAATATATTTTGTTTAATACTAACAGACCCAATAAAAGGAAAGGAAAATAAATTACATAAATCAGTAAGGAATACCCTTATGGGGAGTAAAAACAAAGGGGGGGCACAAAAAATCCAACTCAATCCATTTCTCACGCAATCTAACCAACGCTCCCCTATAACCAAATATCTCCAATGATGTTAGTTCCCAACAAAAATAAAATAAACCTACATAAAATCACAAAAAATAGCAATAAAAATAATATCTATAATAATATCTCACCCAACCCCGGCTCCCACAAGCAAATGTCGCATTGTTGCCTGCCATTCACACTACCTTTTAAAGGCACAAGATAAATATACACACACCAAAATTAAACACTGGTGAAAGTCAGGGCTTGTACATCAAGTGCAATAACTTCCTTTATCAGTTCTTTTTAATGCCTGACCAACAAAACTATACTCTTTTCTATTCAAAACTGAATTAATATTCACATTTAGTAATCAGAAAGATATGCCATGTTTCTTTCACACTAAATTTTGCTACATATCTTCATGGGGGGGGGGGGGGGGGCTGGATAACTATATTTAAGCCAAACAGGGATATGCAAGTCATGGGGATAACTAATAAAAATGATAAAGAACATAAGACAGCAGTGAAACAAGAACATTTTTCTTTTGGCCAACAGCCCCTCTCACTCCCCTTCATCAAATGCTTTCCTTTACAGTAGCCAATCATTTCTTTTCTGTGAATCTCAGATCCTAACCTTTCACTGTGTATCAACTTTTCTTCACGGCTATATCCTCCATCATATCACATTATATCATACAACTCATATCATGGCACACACTGTATGGTTATTTTCCACATTTTGATGGTTCACTGCCATTATCAACTAGCTCTTACAAAATAGTTTTTTCAACTTCTATATCCATGAAGGCTAAAAATTTGTTTGCTAAATGCACATCTATTTAAAATATAGGAAAGATCCTTCCAGATCTGTTTGCAAATAGGTTTCAAATCAGCTTTACCAAATGTACTAATTCACAAAAGGTACTTCTCCCTTACATACAATCGTATGGTTTATCGTTCGAGACATAACACATTTACACCTTTCAAGCCAGGGTGGCCAAAAAAAAAGAAAAAAGAAAAAACGGAAAAACTCTCAATATTAGTTATGATAATCCTTTCAGAATTC